TAAAAGTCCTCCAGATCGTCAGTGTTTTTAAGTGAAACTCCTGTCTGTCGAAACGCGTTTTTGAGTAGAAAGTAAAGCAAAAAAAATTCAGTCAAATCTAAAAAACCATATTTTTTAACAAATTCTACAGTCTTCAGAAGAAATTAACGAGATTTCGAAATAATCTGTTATAAACTTGTGTTCGTTTTTTGATAGAAAATTGTTTGAATTTTGTTCCAAATTCGAAGCTGGACGGGGATTCAAAACTTTTTACAAAGCGACGAAGGATTCGAAATTTATTTCATAATTTTTCGCGGAAAATGCCTTAAGATTGTCAGTATTTTTAAGTGAAACTTTAGAAAATTGAGCATTTAGAAGAAAGAGTAACTTGGCAAAAACTGAAAAATTCTGAAATTTGAAGACATTTTTAAAATATTATTAACAAATGGCCATTAAAATAAATTAAAAAAATGTAAAAAAAGTCTTCAACATTTTCCCAGCAACGGAACTGAGTTACTGCGCCACTGCGTTGGGTTGGCGCACCAAACTCCTAAAAATTAACTGAGTTACCCAGGCCTAGTCTAACTCATGCTTTTAGCTTAACTAAAAAGCCATAAAAATTTAATTTTAAAAGCACCTGTAAAAATTGAGCGGATTTCTCTACCAAAATGCCTTCCTTCCGTTTCTTCTTTTATTGTTTGTTTCTTTTCCTCTTCAGTTTTTCCATTCTGAGATGTTTTAACTTGAAGTTTTTCTGCTTTTGTTGCAATTCTAACGAAACCATTTCATCCGATTTACTTTGCAATCTTTTGCGAAAAAACAGACTTTTTTTTCAGCTTTAATCAGAATATCTTCCAGTCTGCTCACGATTCTGCTAATATACGAGTAAGTTAATTCAAACATCAAAATGCCCGTTTTAATTAGAGAAAAAACTGTATTATCAAAATTTTCTTCGATTTCCCCAACGGAAATTATCTTCTTTGTCCAGCAAATGAAAATCTTGAAAATTCTTGTTGGTTTCAATTCGATTCGTCTCAAATTTCCATTATTTTATGTTAAAATTTTCTTTTCTGCTACTAAATATAACTCGTCAGAACCACGGTTATTTGAACTTTAATCGTTTTTTTAACTTCCTGCATTAACCAAATAATTAATAATCGGATTAATCAAATACAATCTCAATTTTCTAACTGTCTTTCAAAGTACAATATTGTTCGCGGCGTATTCATGGAGTTATTGATTGAGTAAATGTTTCTGTTGGCAATTCATATTGTCCTGGTTTTATTCAACTTCCTGATTCGCAATTTATGATTCCTCAGTTCCTGATAATTGAACTGACTTGTAACTTCTGGTCTTTAATATTCATATTGTGGTCAGTTTTTCTGAATCGTTAGTTTTTTGGTGCTTTTATTGTAGAAACTATTGTCAAACCTAGAAACAATGCTAAAACAACAAAATCGTACTAAGTAATCCTTCTGGTTGTAAATCAATCGTGACCTGTAAACGTGTAAAGAAATCCTCATCGCTTCAATAAATTTAAAGTAACTGTTGTAATATTTGCAAGAAATTGTCACTTAATATCATTCCGTCCGTTATACTTGACGGTAACAGTTGAGGAATTGATAGAAGTGCGAAATATCAAAGCGAGAAAAGTTCTTTATTTCTGACGAGTTGAAACGAGTCCAGAAATTGGCAGTACGAAGCAATTTTCCGATACATTTGCAATTGAAATGGTTCATTTGTTGTGGAGTCATAAATGTATTTTATTTTAGAATATTTCATGGAGGTTTGAACGTGAATGGATATCAAAAAATAAATTTTCGGAAGCAAGAGCAAGTAAAAATGCAGTGAAAAAATTAACTAAATCAACAATCCGCTTGTCGTTAATGTTCGAAATTACTAACAGCTTCTGACGGTTGTGTTCGATCTGTTCAATATTCAAATTTGAACCGTTCGAACGGAGCATAGAAATGTAGTCATTTTTATCTATTTAGATCGATCTGGTAACGCTTCCTACCGATGGTTTTGAATTTAGAATGCGTCTGATACAATATTTGCATTAGTAAATGTGTCCCTTCCCACATGGTTTTTGTCGATCGAGCCGATGACTTTGAAATAATCCGCATAGCTCGGCCAGACCGGCGACCTACTTAACAAAAGAAATTAAAGAAACATAATTTTTTCGATTGAATAACTACGAATAAATAAGCAGTTTTTTTTCTTCTTCGCCTTCAAACCGAGAGTTGAAGTTTATAGAACAGAAATGAAACGGGCCCCGATCGCTATTTTCGTTAGACCTTTTAAGGAAATTTGGTCAACGGAACGTTTGAATAATAATTGAGATTTCGACAAGAAGATATGGATGGACGTTGTTGGGTGCCTCGTATTATGAATGATGAAGTTCTCGGTTTGGATTTGATAGTTTATTCACATTGTGAACTAAATTGAGAATTAATGTAATAATAAATGGCGTTAGAAAGTGACCCGTTAGCATATCAGGATATGGGACCGATGCCCGGAAATTGAAACATACAAGGATTTGGACAATTTATCGCATCTAGATTTAATGTAAATGCTCTTTGCTTATAAGAATCGCTGATATTTGTTCTTTAAATGGTTCTCGTTTACATTTTACACTGCAGCAGATCTTTGGAACCAATGCATTAGATGCTAAAATATTAATTAATACATTAACTTAATTAACATTAAACATTTATTATTAATATTAACTAAACATTAATACTAAAGCGAACTCTTGATTCAGGGGCTATTGTTTTTTTTGGGTCGAATAGTCTCCAATATCTGAGTCATGCCTTCCAATATTCAGTTTTATCTATAATAAGTTTTCGAATTTCGTCCCTTCGTTTTCGAGTAAAGTAACGAAAAAAGCAAAAAGATTTTGAATTTTCAATCAGAATGAGTCTTGCGTCCGAAAGCAGTATCGGAAGGCAGTAATTACTGAATAAACATAAAATAATTTTAAAAATTTTCATTTATAATCAGCTGCAAACATCATTTTACGCGTAAATGATACGATAGTCAAGCAAAAGTTCCTGAAAGTGATATTGCAAATTACTTCTTTTCAATTTAAAGCAGAATGCGCCATCTACGCTTTAAGTGCCTTCACACAGACCAGTACCAGGAGTACCACTTATTGTACTGCATATAGTACGACTCCAACTGAAATAAAATGCTTCCATCTATACAAAGCGACTTATACTAACTGTATGCAGTTCTGAATGAAAATCTGCAAAATCTGTGATTCTCGTAGTTTGTGGACAATTTTTCTTCATTTTGCTTGCAACAACAACAGGAAAACATTTTATTTTCTTCCTCAATAAAGGAACCTATAGGAAACGTACCCTGATTTACTGACTAGAAATAATTAAATTTTGAAAAACTGAATTTTCCTATTAGAACTCTATTAAACTATTTACTGAAAGTTTTCTGAAAATTTCGATTCGAAACCAAATTTCACCCATTTATAAAAATCTAAAATTCTACAGGTTATTACCGCTAAACACGTGAAGACACGAACTGATTCTTATAATTAATATTTATATTAATATAATGTATTAATATAATGTAATCGAAACACATTAACATTATTCGTTTAAGCTTTTTAAAAGATATATTAGTTCACTTTCGCTCCTTTTTTTGGTTCTGTCCGTTTCACTACCAATGTTTATATTTTCCTGAAAGTTTTAACATCCAATCTAATAAATCGCTATCAAAGATGCATTTATAACTCCATCAGTTAACAACCGAGCAGAAATTTTCAATTATATTTTTCTTGCTAATTCACAAGCCGTACATTCAACATCTATTTAGACTGTCTATTAAGTGTTTGGTCAATCATACAGATTAGATTTTTTAAGTAACAGCAAAATCATCCCTAAAAAAAATTAAAAGGTATGGAAAAACTGCAATAGTCGAGCAAGGTTTCTGTCTTCACACGTGTCGCTAACAAATATAAAAAATAAAATCCGAAAATGAGGACTGCGTCTTTCTAAACTGTATAATAATACCAAAAGAATGTTATCCATAATCTTCATTGCATGCATAAATTGTTTTGGTTGGAATCAAAAAGAAATTGAGAAAATAAGATTGTTTTTCTAGAAAAAGTTAATTTGTCGGATGCAAGATCAACAAAGTATTGCATAAGTCGAGCTTAAAATAGAAAGTAAAAATGCGGAACACATAAACCTGATTAAAACAGGACAAAATATGCTATTTTTATGATTGATTTAGAAACTTGCGTTAATCTTCAGATATAAAAGGCCTGAGACATTGTAATCGAAACTATTAAGATTTCCCATAAAGGGTTGATACATTAATTTTTGCTTAAATTACCATAGAAGATTCGCACAATTACCACCCATTCATAGTAGATATACAATAATCCAGTCGACTCTACCTAAAGCGAACGTGCATCTTCTGCTAGATTCCTGGATGTTTTAGTTACAAATCAATGACGAATTAATAACAATTATTGTTTTGTCCTTTTAGTCGCTGGGGGTTATCGGAAGTTTAATATAATGCAACAATAATCAAGTATTGCATAAGACAAGTTTTCAAAAAAAATTTCACATTATATAGTTACTTGATGCGACTAATAAGTAGGTATATACACAGAGTGTCTAAAAACGATTAACACAAAAATCATCAAAAACATGATACTTTTGGATGTCTTCACTATTGGTAAATCGAATTGTACACGTCAGTCAATCAATAGATTTATTGACGGAAAAATGTTGTTAAAAAATCAGATAAAAAAGATACGTGGAAAATAATATCAGTAAATTGATTGTCTGCTGTTATTTAATTACGGCTTTCATCATCTAAAAACCATATAAAAATAAACACTCCTTGACCTGTTGGTCTTACAATTGTTGTCAAAGGCAAAAGTACCGTCTTGACGAAATAACATTACTTAGAAGGTGACGACGATCAGGACGTTTTCAATAAATTGATTAAATATAATAATCACCTTCTCCATGATTTTCTAAAAGTTACTACCAACATCAAATAAACGAAATCTACAATGTTAATGATCCATACTATGGACGAATCTGAACCAACTACAGTAAATGGAACAACGCTGATAAACATTAGTTGTGCTAAAAGTGAACAAAATTTCGACTGTTGAGAAAAACTCGCCTTAATTGGGAAACACTAGACATTCCACAGCAAAATGTTCTTAAGATTCAATAATTGTATAAATTGCTTTTCTTAAATCTTGCAACGATGTCTTATCAGTGATGTTCTTTGACTTGCTTGGTCGCTTAATATATCCGAAGTTTACTATGCTGCCTTATCACAGAACCCCATTTATACTTTATAGCCATTCATTCTAGTCGAAGTCTGTCTTCGTGGGTGCACACAGTTTAGTTCGGTGATAATGACAGGGTGTTTTGTGGAAAAACTGAAACTTTTTCAACCGAGTAGAACTTTAGTGTTGTCTTGTCGGGTCTAGAGATTTATTTGCAATCAGTGTGCTTCAAAATGAGGGGTAAGTGATGTGAAAGCAAACAGTACAAACATTTTAGGCAAATAATCAATCAAAATTATTGATTTATGATCAGCACAAAAAAATTGTAGTCTTAAAATGAAAATAAATTTGTAGCAACAAATACAATATTCATCAAAATGTTTAAATAGCAACAACGCATATCTTAAATATTCTCTAACTTTTGATGGTGAATTTTCTCAATCGATGATCCGATCTGGACAATTCTTCTATCGAATGGCTCTATTCTTGGAAAAAAAATTAAATTATAAGAGAAGCAAAAAATGAAATAAACCTTTTTTTACAGGGTGTTTAAATGCTGTCATGATTTCTTGCTGAAAGTTTAAATGAGCCACAAATCAGAGAAAAAGATCGATATTATAGCCTCATTTCTTCGATTTTTAAAGATTTTTAAACGTCTGTTTGCCTTGAGCCATTCGATATACATATATGTATACATTTTTTTGGTCGGTCACATTTTCCGCGCAAAATTTTCTTCTTCGGAATCAAAAAAGTTTGAATAAATGTCGTACGGAAAATGTGACCGGCCATAAAAAATGTATACTTATATATATGTATATCGAATGGCTCAAGACAAACAGACGATTAAAAATCCAAATTACTCAGAAGAAATGAGAGTAAAACATCGTGTACTTGTTCTCATTGAGCTATCTGATATTTGCAGCAGACGAATTTAAGGTTTGATTAAGAAAAATTACACTATTTAAACATGCAGCATGCAATACAAAATAAATTGACTATTTTTTACAGAAGTCATGGACAGATTTCAGTAATACCTTACCTAGATTTTTCTTTCTCTACATACATTTTATTCTTTAAACTCATTAAATTCAATTCATTTTAGTTCGATTTTTTGTGAATACGCATACAGTTCAAAATGTATAAAAATAAACGGTTTGGACGTATTGAGTCAGTTCTTGCATTGTTATGTTCAGCATTTGTTAGTCAGTCCCAAACGTAAACTCTAAATATTCATTACCTAAAACAATATCCAATGAACTCATAGTCGATCTTTCCTCTCTCGGAAACTCATTAAATTTCACACAAAAACACATGTAGAATAAGTTACTGATTTAAAATTTAAATTCATTTATTAATATATTAATTAAATTAAGGCTCGCTACTTCAACCTTCTGAGGACCTACGCTTATAATCAAGGAAATAAATCGGTTCCTCTAATCATGTTTACCCGTTTCGTGCCCTATTTCGGTCTATTATTTCACACTAATAATAAAAACTCCGCAGGTTCGCATCAAAGCATTACGTGCAATACACAATTGTATTCATTTATAGAATCTGCGGTCTTAGTCCGGCCATCTACCAGAAAAATTTATGATTTTACCTTTCTATTACAGATATAGTAAGAAATTTTAAGAAGATCATTGCTGGAGGAAACCGAGATTCAGACTCAGATGAATCACAACCTCTACTATCCTCCACTTCGACCTCTTCTTCTTCCAGCTTTGAGTAAGTAATAAGTCTTTGTTCTATCGCACTGAATTACTTAATTAAAGCGTAAGATTGTATAATATTCAAACTTGCCGCACTAGCAATTCGTAACATTTTGTGTTAGAGGAGAAATTATACAAATAAAAACATAATACAGAACTTATATATATGTTGTTATTTTCTTTCTTGGGCTCCAGTCAAAGTGAAGACAAGAAAGCAAAGACCTAAATGAATGTAATGTTTAAATTATGAGTTTGTATGAATTTTAAAATCTGATGATGGCGCTATTGTCTCGCCGAAACGCAATGAAATAAATGATATACAAATTTTTGTTTCACACTTTGACTGGAGCCCAGGAAAGAAAATAATATAATAACAATTACACGCAGTCAGGAAAATAAATCAAAATAACTATAAATATAAAAAATATCAAAGAAACGCGTTCAATAACGGAGTCAACTGGATCCTGCCAGTTTTTTCATCCGGTTTTCAGGGCATTTTCAACCAGCCTCATCCAGATAACTTGAATAATTGGAATGCAATTGAAAGTCGCCAATTATCCGTACAACAGTTTTGTATAAAGGAATAAAATTGTCGCTGAATCAATTGTTACTGTATTTCTGTCGAGTCAGAATGTTGCATTATTAATTCTTAGTCCCTTAGCCAGCAAGAAACTACTAGTTTGCAAGTGCAATAGTGGTTTTTTATTGTTTGTTCAGAATAGTTTCTTTATTGGGTAAGATCAATTACTGCCAAATATTAGATGCTTAAATTAAATTAATTCACTCGATGCAAAAATTTAACACTCACACCAATGTTGTGCTTAAAAATGTAATAAAAAACATTACAAATATTCATGAAGGCAGAAGATAATTTAACTAACAAATTAAATTTAGCTTAGGACAAGAACGTTTTCAAATTTCTCAAAAACTGCGGATATTTTACGATGGAATTGTGTCAAATGTTAATAATCCTTCATAAAATAAAACCATTTGCTTTCAAAGTTTCTCAATTTCTAGCTGCTTTTATGCGAATGTAAGCATAAAAAAATTAATAAAATACCATTCTGAAAGGCACTAAACAGCGCTTATCAAACATAATATCGACGTTCTGTTTCATTACTTTAGTGCATTTACATATAGCAATTATTGCAAAATGACCAAAGAATATTAAGTTTTACCGTGTATGTGCTTGACTTGTTTGGTATGTGTTGTATCAAATGGCAATTCTTGATCGAAGATCAAAAAACAACTTTCAAATTATTTGTTTTATTATAGTGCTACCTAATGCCAGGATTGTTTAAATTAATGTTGATAAAATACATAGATGGCAAATTTAAAGAATACATTTTTTTTCAGGTCCATCTTTAATCGTTTCAGAGCCACAAGTGAATCTGAACAGGGCAGCGAATCAGAGAATTGCACTCTAGTGTCACCTAATCCTTTACAATCAAATTTGATACGGAACAAATGCAGGCAGTAAGTAACATTTTAAGGAAAACTGCTTCCTTGTACTTAATGTTTTATTCAAGTATTTTATAAAAATGTTTGTATTGTAAATATTTCATTTTTGTGTCGTTTTGTCCCAGATACCAAATCTCTCCCATTAACTCTTTTTTGCTTGCTCTATAAATGAAGCGATTTACTATCTAATCACAAGCGCTGATATCCGATTAATTACTAAGGAATTTTCAAAGAATTTTAATTAAATTGTTTTTCGTACACGTACGTTAAGAGTCTGTATGGCGTAAAAGCCCATTCAATGAATAGGACGAATTAATTGGGAATTAATAACGCCAAAATCGTTATTAAGAAATAAAAAATGATCTGCAACGGAACGTTTCGTTTCAGCCAGCAGGATTCTGAATCAGACTTAGAACCTACAGTTTTGACTGTTTCTGCTGCTGAACACTTTTTCTATAACAATGACAATAGCTACGTTAGAATAGCTGATTTAATACGACATGACCCGGTAAGAATTTCAATATTGCTGCTTCTTAACTTGTAAGAAATTATATTATTTTTGATAGATGAACATTCAGACCAATCAGAACGCGCCCAAACCTCCATTGTCATCCGGAGAAGCCAGTTTTAACGGTTTTATGGATTATAAGGATTCAGAAACACATACGCACAATTCTGTTGTCACTATGTAAGTACTGTGTTAGCAAATAGATAGTTGATCTATGCAAATTTTTCATGTTTGGTTCAATATTGAAAAAACGGTAATTTTTTCCAATAGCATTATTGGCACTTCGCAGTATATTAACAAGGTTTAGTTGGCAAAATGATTGGAGCCATGAATCTGCGGACGGAATTATTAACGACACAATATTATAAAATTGATATTCGGTATCCTTGACCCAAATATTACAGTCGCAAAGAATGTTCCAAATTTGGGTCTGTTTTAGATGAGAAATTTTATTTTATCGCAAATACGTAATCCGAGAACACGATGCACAGTTTCTTTGAAAATCTGGAAGAAATCACACCGAAAATATTTTGAGAAATGCGATGTTGCTGCGTAATCGAAAAGTCCTAACAACTTGGATGTTTTAAATGAGACAACCTGTATATTATTGAACTAATCTAATTAAATTTGCTTCACGATTCATATACGTATTTAGAGCGGTTTCCGGAATACTAAATAAAACTTATATTTTCCAAAAGAAATTTCGTATTATATCGCTAGAGCCTCACAACTTCTTACATACAGGTCTTTAAATTAGTGATCACTGGGCTACGGAAAGATCTTTCGGCTACAAACAAAAACCTCCTATTAGAAAATCAAATAAACACTATCAGATATTTAAATTAAATATAGATAATATTCCGATATTGAATGAACGTTAAAAGTTCGTAAGAAACATCAATAAACCTATATAAGTAATCAAACATATTAAGGACTGACGCACTGTGACCTCATTATCATTTTCTGATGAAACATCTCTTGAAATTGTGCCATTTAAAAAAATCTAATCAATTACCCTTGTTAACTTATACATATTTTTCCTAAAAATTAAAACACCCAAAAATTTGTTGTTTCAGATTTGCAATATGGAATACCACAATGGGGTCATCTCTATTAGCAATGTCATGGGGTATCCAAATGGCCGGACTTTTCCCAGGCATAGCAATAAACATTTTAATAGCCGCACTTTGTTTATATACCTGCCATCTCCTACTTACTGTGAACGAAAAACATGGTAAGCAACTAAATAGTTACTTAATTCATTCTTGCTAGCCACAAATGAATAACGCACTTTGTTAAATCGAATTCAGAATAAAGTGCTTAGTACTCTATTCATTTATGGCGAGCAGGAAGTAAAATTAACAATGCAAATGAAATGCGAAGTGCTTGAAATATTTCATCCTATAAGTTTCCAGACTGATGTTTTTTAGGTATGCCTGGCATTGATATCGAAGTAAGCCACCTTTGCCAAAACCTCTTGGGCAAATGGGCGGAAGTATTGGCGAAAATATTTTCAATAGTGGTACTATTAGGAGCTGACATAGTTTATATGATCCTGATGTCGAATTTCCTTTACAACTCGGTTTATTTTCTTTACGGTAATTCCACCTACACAGTTCCATGTTTTGCACCACTAAGATTCTTATTTTATTATTCTAGATTTACTTACAAATCCTGCGGATCCAATGGAGGCAAATGCGACTGTATTGTGTCTCAAAGACACGATAATAAATGTATCGGCACATAGTGCTTTGCTAAACCCCATTTCTGCAACACAATCTCTTTTTGAGAAAGTATGGGATTTGTACAGTACAGTTCCTGTCATTTTAGCTGTGATAATGTTCTGTGTCCTAAACTTTAAGTCGCCCACATTTTTTACAAAATTTAATAGCTTAGGTAAGTCTCTGTCTGTTGCAACAATTTAATTGAATTTCAACCCTATACTTGTTTCAGGAACAATTAGTGTTATGTATTTACTCATGTTTGTGGCTGTGAAAGCATATAGCTGGGGAATTAACATTTCCGATTGGAGTGCGGAATTTCAACTAAAATCAACATTTTCTGCACTCAGCGGAATGTTGTCGTTGAGCTATTTTATCCACAATATTATAATCTCTATAATGAGGAACAATAGGCATCAGGAGCACAATGTGAGTTTTCAAAGCAAATCAATAAACATGTAACCGATTAAAATGATTTGCCTTCTAGGGTAGAGATCTGACTATAGCATTCGGCCTGATAACCTTCACGTATTTGTTTATAGGAATACTTTTCTATATAAGCTTTCCGCTGGCTAAATCATGCATAGAAGATGTGAGTATGAAATGCTAAGTTAGATCTAGAGCATTATTTGAAACATTTTTTCTAGAACATTTTTAATAACTTCAGTAAAAGCGACACGATGACAATCATAGCTCGGATATTGCTACTCTTTCAATTGTTCACCGTGTTTCCACTAATTTCCTTCATGTTACGAAAGGACATTTTAGGAAACATCAATCAGATATTCAAAAATTACACATTCGGCGACTTCACTTATGGAAGAGTCATGTTTCTAAATGCCTGCTTGTTAATTATATGTGTTCTTTTTGCGTGCTTTCTTCCAAAAATTGGCACTTTAATAAGGTAAGCCAAGTAGCTTTTGACACGCAAATATACAATAATGTTCACCTTTCAGATATACAGGAGCTTTGAGCGGGATGGTTTACGTATTTATGTTACCAAACATGTTGAAAATGGCAAGCTTAAAAAAACGCCACAAACTTTCAACCATCAAAACTGTATGGCACATATTCATCATAATAGCTGGTGCCCTTAATTTACTTTCTCAATTTTTTATTAACGACTAGTGCAGCTAAGCCCGTTAGAATTGCCTTGACAAGAAATGTATTATTTATTTCTTGTATTGTGAAAAGTATTCTTAATGTGACTATGTACTGTATAATAATTTTATTTATTTAAACCCATGTTAGATTACAGTAGGTATTTTTAATTTATAAGAGATTAAACAGATTTTTTAAATACTTATTAATTTATGCACCGGTATATGTGAATAAGAGATATTGATTCAGATAAGAAATTACCGTTAAGGCACACGGCACAATGAACAAAAATACAAAAATTTTGATTTAACATGAAAATATCTGAAATGACTGAGTATCAAAGTTTTCATCTCTCTGGGTTCTTCCGGACATTACGGAATATTTGATGTAAGACATACACGGCGCTGTCGCAAGTACACATGGAGCTAAATTGTACTTACCAATGAGAAATAATTTTCACACTGAATAACGGGTCTGAATAAAACAAAATCTTCTCTTGTTTTTTTTTATTAACCAAAGTCTCAAGATCTACTCGTTTTCTTGGCTGCGTAACCTGGCGTGCCCATTAGTTACCCTGATACTTAACTGTTGTGCCCTTTCAACAATGTCTTTCCTCTTCTTAGCTGAGACACCATGGGCGATCTCAGCGCAGTATTTACGGTTTTGCATCATAAGAACTTCAAGTTCCTTGAACAAAAATGGAAAATTAGTCTGAGACAAGCAGATACCGCAATACCTTTCTAGTTATAACTTAAATAAATCAGTGGTTTGGTTTGCTACATGAGGTATTCAGGCGCAAATTACCATAAGCATCATGTTTATAAATATATATACAGTTTGTGACAAGCTTTTTGGTAGGATAATATTCTTTTTTAATTACTTGTCCATCGAACAACGGAAATTTTATGTTATTAGCGTGCGTCTTTTATCAAATAGTTCCAATTCGCCGAAGTATAGAACAATATTGAAATTATTGATTTGATTTCTTGGAGTGTTGGCAGTTTCTGACAATTTCCAGGTTATCATTACAACTTATTGATACATTTTCTATTTTCCTTACTAAACTAACATACGCTAAGATAATACTACTGAGCAATAATTGCAATTTTTTCGTTTCAAGACATGGGTCCCTTGAAACCTCCAGGTGCAACAAAACGACCCAAGATACGTTTTCCCAATTAATAACTTACAAATTGTCGTAGGAAATACCTTTTTTTATGTGATTACAAATTAAACTCACCTTAAGGTTGTGGACCAGCATTTTCCTGAACCCTGTGGGCAGCATATGACGGGTCTTGGCGGCAGAACCATAACCAATATTGGGCATCAAATACTGTCCCTTGAAACGCCTCCTCACCCTGTTGTCGATACCCTTTGGTTTACGCCAATTCCTCTAAAGAACATCATGAAAATTAGAAAAAAATCTTCGCTTTTTCGGAGAACCTCTTGAGAGCATATACGAAACGTTTTGTCCGTTGCTCTAACCTCAATATCTTGGACCGTAAACACGATTTAATTTTTTTTCCGTGTAAAAGGCCAGAACTTACCTTAAGTTTGCCATATCGGTCGGATTGATGCCTAATGAATTTCTTTGTCCTCTTTTTTATGATCTCCGGCCTGTACACTGGTCGGATTGCCATTTTGCAGCCTTAAAGAACAAGAGGGGAAATTTACGTAAATAACTAATTCAGTAGAAAACGCCGCTGATTGTTGGGCACACCGAAACATCAGCTAGTGAACTCCATGAAATATTTAAATAATACTTACCGATTAGCTAAGCGAAACTGGATTTAAAATATTCTGCTAAATTCCTCCAGCTACAGATTGACGACGGGATAGAAAAGGTATGTCAAATGTCAGCTTGGCATTATACCGTCAAAATTTACGTTGTGAAAGTAAGAATTGGTAGCGGCGTTGCGATTTGTGCTGAAGCATGTTCATTTAAAAGATTTTACTTTTTAATTGAAATAAAGCATTTGATTTTATATTGCTCTAACAGCAAAGACAAAAACACGAATTGCATTGGAAGGTTTTTACCACTTCAGGTTCTTTCAAATTATTATTTTAATGCAATATTTTGACGGAAATGCCAAATACCAATGTTGCCAAAGCAATTATGAGAGGCGGATATAGCTTTTCGGCTTATTTAAAAAATACTAAATGGTGTTTAATATTAATTGATCTAATTTAAAAATACAAAACTTTTATGGCAAAAAGCAAACCTTTCAGTTTTAGTTGTGTATTGACGCTGGCTCGTCCATTAACTAGAAAATGACCATTTTAATGTTGATTCCCATTTTAAATACGTTATGTCCATTAGGCGGACCAAACGCAAAATATCAAAACTAAAATTATTATTGTTCTTCATTCTATAAGAATGATCTGCCAACACTGATGAAAATGCGAACAACCACCACGTTTTTATTTTTGACAAATTTCATTGACATTGACGACGTCTGTATCCTAACCTTGACTGTTGTGTTATTGTTTTACTGTTTTCGTGTTATATTAAAAAAAAACTTCACAAAAAACCTTGTTTAAGTCAAATCTACTTACCGATCCAGTGCTTACAGCAGTAGGTAGAAGTACCCCTCAATCGTTAGAAGTATATATGGACGAACGGTTTAACATCACTCAACGTTTAGTAGTGGTTGCACTATTTCTATTGTTTGTCTGGATTTGCAGGGAAATTCTCGATTATAACATATCCGACTTGTCCTTGTAACAATGTCCAAGCAAAGAGTTTCATATTTCTTCAATCCAGACGTTGGAAACTTCCACTATGGCACTGGCCACCCCATGAAGCCACACCGACTGTCTGTAATCAACAGTTTGGTTTTAAACTATGGACTTCACAAGCACATGCAGGTCTACAGGCCCTACCAAGCTACTGTTCAGGACATGTGTAGATTTCACACTGATGAATATATTGGTCAGAGAATCAAACAATTATCTTAGGCTTAGACTTGATGGTCAATCATTTTTAGATTTTTTACAAAAGGTGACTCCACAAAATATGTCCTCCTTTACCAAACAACTAAGTAATTACAATGTAGGTGATGATTGTCCAGTATTTTATGGCCTGTTTGAGTTTTGCTCAATGTACACCGGGGCTTCTCTAGAAGGAGCTATGAAGCTGAATAATAATGACTGTGACATTGCAATCAATTGGGCCGGTAAAAGATCCTGTTCTCTTGCTTAAGCCTTAGGTAATTAAATAATTATTTCAGGAGGACTTCATCATGCAAAGAAATTTGACGCATCTGGTTTTTGTTATGTTAACGACATAGTCATAGGAATTTTAGAACTACTTAAATACCATCCTAGAGTTCTGTACATTGACATCGATGTCCACCATGGCGATGGAGTGCAAGAGGCGTTTTATGTTACCGATCGCGTAATGACTGTTAGTTTTCATAAATATGGAAACAACTTCTTTCCTGGTATCTACATACGTACTTTTCATTAACTATTTTCATTACTTGGTTCTTCTGTTCTTCAGCGACTGGGGATATGTATGAAATAGGAGCTGAAAGTGGACGATATTACTCAGTCAATGTTCCACTTAAGGAAGGAATTGATGATGCCAGCTACTGGCAAGTGTTCAAGCCGGTTATTTCCAACGTTATGGAGTTCTACCAGCCCACAGCTATTGTACTGCAATGTGGGGCTGATTCCCTAGCAGGCGACCGGTGAGTGTATTGATACTCCCCGTCTTAATCTCTTATTATATATTTTGCCCCAAAATTTAGACTAGTAAATTTTACTACTTTAATTTAGACTCTAAATAAGTAAATTTTCTAATTGCGGGATCATTATCTCTTGATTGAAAAATAGAACCGTAGATAATAGAGCAATCGATGCAGAATTTGAGCTTTAATTGACTGAAAAAATACCAGGAGTCCGAACAAATACATTTTCAAGAAAATGGCTCTCTTAGCTCTTAAGAAAATTCGGTCAAATTCTTACGGAAATTGAAAAAGTTCACAATAATGCAGACAATTTTGACTGAACATCACGAATCCAGCACCCAGCATTGAATTGATTTCTAAGAATCATATTTTCCAGACTGGGATTGTTCTCCCTGAGTAACAAGGGTCATGGAGAATGCGTCAAATTTGTAAAGAGCTTAAATGTACCCACTTTGGTTGTTGGTGGAGGTGGATACACTCTGCGTAATGTAGCTCGCTGTTGGACTTATGAAACATCGCTTCTCGTGGATGAACAAATTTCCAACGAATTACCTTACACGGAATATCTAGAATATTTCGCACCAGATTTCACTTTGCACCCAGAGCTGGATGCAAAAGCAAAGAAAGAAAATTGCAACAGTAAGCAGTACCTTGAAGCTATTACAAAGTAAGTATCTTCGATCCACTATCGATTAGGTGTTTTATTTTTTCCAATTTTTATTTGTGGCACAGATAGTTGATTAATGCACGTTTTTGCCTAGGTTTGTTTACGATAATTTAAAAATGGTTCAGAACTCGCCCAGTGTGCAAATGCACGATGCACCGGGTCCAGCAATTCCGGAAGATGCGAAAATTAAAGAAGAAGACGACCCTGATGTAAGAATCAGCCAAGATCTTGAAGATAAAATGGTGGAAGCTAAGAATGAATTTTATGATGGAGACAAGGACAATGACCAAGAGGACATTAAAATGCGAGAATGAACATTAGTTACGCTTTTAAACAGTATTTTGATTTTAGGCTTTACTTAGATTTATTTCATAGAGAATTAGTAAATTCAATTACGGATGTAGATGTAAGTTAATTGACTGGGATCTCTTTTCAAAAAGAGTTTGATAGATTGTTAGACAATAATTTTGTCCATAATAGAAAAGAAATAAAGAATTAATTTCACAATAGTTTGCATTATTCTCATGCAGTTATCCAAATAGTCCCTTAGCTCTATATGCAATCCTTTATTTAGATTTATTGAACACATTTTTTCTGCTTTTTTAGATCACCAAACTAACATATTTCCTCTACATCGAAATGGCTGTAAACAACCCTTGCATTTCTGGTCGGCAATAGTGAACTTTCCGATTAAACACAAATTATGTGGAATTAATCATAAGAAAATATTTCTGATATATAAATAATTTGATGAATTGTCTGTCATTTTCTTACTGAGTCTTCATTTTCAGCGATTAGATAATCCTGTTGTTACTATAGACAATTTCAATAATTAGACGATGAATTTAATAATAACGAATAAAACCAAGCATTTTCGCAAATTGATCGGTGATGCATGTTGTAAGAACAATCCGCATGGTCAACATTTTTTATTATTCAGATAAATCTGAGAATAATAAACCAATTTATCAATGTAGCCAAAGGTCAATTCGACAAAGCAAATAATTATTGATAAAACAAGTTAAGTCTCATGTAGAGTTTTAAATATTTGCATTGAATAAATATGAAATTGATACATGGGGTTGGTTGATTAGGTCCCTAAGGATCATTGATCTGGTGTCCATGCTCAAAGTTCTCCAGACAAACATTTACATTATTTTAGTGGGAATAAATTTTGGATAAACATCAAGTGGGATCGTTCTTGGTATAACTGATACTGACCATGCTCATATACAAGTTGTTACACGAATGGACAATTTTTTAAAGTTTTGTAAAATGCTTCTATGGAGGTTCAGGCATTTTTGAGCTTTAACAACTTTATGGCGCGATATACTGTTTAAGAACTTTGCTTAAGCTGAATCCGTCCATAAATACATTTAACAATGCTCTTCGTTGCACTAACAGATCTGTTAAAATTGACAGAAAACTAAGAACACAAATAGTTTACTTATCACACTCCTAAGTGCCAATACTGTTAATACCTATATTGAACGGTATGGTTTCAAGCATTTTCGTAAACGTGTGAATTGTTTCCTGCTAATCAAATAAATTTACTCATGTTTTCTTGATCGCACACATGTCTTGTAGGTAACAACTAAACAAGGAATAATCAGTGTAAGCCAGAGGTCAATTTCTAATTGGGATGATAACGTATTTTGTTACATTTTCTTCAAACAAGCTCACTATATGCCTTCAAACCAATTCCTGAACGGTTTCAATATGATTAAATAAAATTTTCCATTTGACGCGATACTATTTTAAACAGTGGAAAAGTCTCGATAGGACAGTACAAAGCAATGCTCAAAACATCTGTATAACAAACAATAGGCGGCATAGTAAACTGGAAAAGTCTCATTTTAAATAAGTGTTATAAATGATATATTTTATCAGAAAGCTGTTATGTATAATACGTGAATCTAGAAAATTGCGCTAATTAATGTTGAAGACATTTTGCGATACGTTTAAATTCAAGTTAATAATAATCGAAACATTATAAAAGTAAATCAGAAAATATCCTTTGACTTTGACCTCCAGCTTGAGTTCTAATTCGGACATCGAACTCCACTATCTGCCTGATGGGAAACCAGTTTAGAAACTCATATTCAAAACCTTTTCATAAAGTTTGGACACTATCAGGTCAATTTTAATGTAAATGGTCATAAGTTCACTTTTATCTTGTTTTATACTAAAAATAAAAAAACCGATACTACGAAGGCGTTGCCATTAAGAAACATTATTTTTTAAATTCAAACGATAAACTGCTGAATCATTTTGTTCTCATCTCTTCTTATGGTTGCTCTATGTTCCTCATACATTCACGCTCTATCGTGACTCTTCAGCAAAAGTCTTAAAAGGACGATCCAGGAGAGTGAAATGTATGAAGGAAGTGAGGAAGGAATGAGAAATAAGAATCTTACGCAGAGGTTTGTTATCGCTGGAGAACCATAAGAGTTTGAAAGTGGTATGTAGGGAAAAGAAAGACAGCAAGTTTTTGGAAGATATATCATGATGCAAGGAGAACCATGCTGCCACAGAACAACCGTTACTTGTAGCATTGATTATGTAACACCAAGTGGTTTGAAAAGGAAAGTTTTCATTGAAATCCTAAAAAAGATCGTTGATCTACCGCCCTTAGCAACCCTCCAAGATTGTTGCTGATGTAGACGAAAACATTCCCATGCAGCGGACAAAGAATCCAGAGTCGACACTGATTATGTTCTTATCTGGACTAAATTTGAACTTAGAGCTGGCGACTATAAAAAGGAATAGGAGGTAATTATCGTTAGTTGTTGTTGCGCCGACTACAACGAGGATGGACGGCAGTGGACAGAGGCGCGTGCCTTTAGGCATAGTGTTTCTGGTGATATTAGTGATCGGAAATGTACAATCTGAAGGTAAGTTACTTGAAAAACTGCAGCTCTCAGCAAAAGAAAAACCAATTATTGATTTTTCTTGCTACTTTATTTTTAACTAATTAACTTTTGGCATTTTAGAGTGTATTAATAAAATGTTTAAAGTTTTTTTCATGCTTTTACAGAAAATTAACTGCCAYTTTTTACTTTGATTAAATTTAAAAAGTTATTTGTCATTACAAAACTCAAAAAATTTYACTTGTGTGTTTAATTACATTGTKCAGYAGTAACAAATATTTTCAAATAGCTTTCCTTTATTCTATTTTTGAATCATAATGAACAAAGTTGATAAAAAACATTATATAAATGTAAAATTACATTCCGATTGAAACAATGGAAGGAAAAAAGTAAGCCATTATTTCCAAAAAAATAAAAAAAAGTAATTTTTTTTAATTCAATTAAATTAAATTGTTTAAATAAACAATTATAATTTATAGCAGTTTTGTATCTTCATATTATTTAATAAATAATTCCTATTCATTCTAAGATTGGTTGAATCAGGAAAAACTTTTAGAATAATATTTGATAAATAAACCTCATACTTTTTCCATTCCATTTCCTGTTTTTCTATTAAAATGCCAATAATTATCACGAAATTTTATCTCAATAACTGCATTAGACTCAACTTAAAATATTCAAGCGTGCTATTATAAATTAATTAATAAATATTTGTTAATTTATTTTCTGCAAATTATTGACTTAAATTTCTTTGAATCAGTGTATATTTTCAAAGTTTTATTATATCAGAATTGTTGAGTTGTGTATAAAATTATAATTCAAAAATAAACAACACCATTGTTTAATAATCGAAACTCGGCTTTAAAAATAAGGAACATTTATTTACAAATGGTTGAAACCGATCGTGTGAGAATGTGAAAAACTCTACATACAGTGAAAAAAAATCGTTTGAAAACGGATTAAATAACATAAAATTTAAAACAAGACTAAGCCGGTGGAAGCAAAGGCAAAACTATCTGACAAAGCATCAACATTAACTAGTAATAAACCATA